GGTAAGAAGACATGGCCCCGCTTTCTGTCTGCCGGCTGTCTGTCAGGGACACTGCTGCCCCGCAGACCTGCCAAGGAGCGAGGGAATAGCATTCTCTGAACATTGCTGTCTCTGCATACATCTTTGTTACAAGGCAATGGCAGACTGCTACAGAGTACAATGGAATGGTAAAGCTAAAATGGGTCATTTCCTAAAAACAATGACATCAATCTGATTCTTCAAAGCCTGGAGGTACGGAAGAACAAATAGGGAACCATGAGGGCTGCCTGGTCCCTGTTGTTCACTTGTGTTTTCATTCTGCCCTCTGGACTGTAAACTTCCTGAGGGCAGGCCCATAGTCACATGGTGATGAGGCTCCCAGTGTATGTGCCAAGGTGCTGAGGACATCATAGGTCAAGGCTCATAAAATAAAGTTCCTTCAGACAACCAGGCTCAAAATTACAATGAATGAGGTGAGTGTGGTGAGAGAAAAAATGGGAAGTGACAAGACTGGTGAATCGGAGAACTTGGAGGACACAGCCATTTGTGTCCCTGTGTGAATGGAAGCCAGCAACACCGGGTCCCCCAGTGCTTCACAACAAACCAAAACCCTGCTGTTGCCGTTGCTAGTGTGGTGCTGTTTCTTATGGTGAGTTTCCTTTTATACTTATTATGAGTTTCCCCCATTGTTTAATGTTACTTCAAGCAAGCACAACGCTGGGACTGTGTCTTTTTAAAATTCTTTCTACTTTGCCTCCACATCACCCATCATGAAGCCTGGTGTGAGGGACCATGTTGTTGCTGTGCGGTTTCCTGGTGGTTCTTACGGAGCATTGCTGGGCTGCTCTGCTCAGCTACTGATGACCGTGTTCAACTGAAGCCTGAGGTTGGCTGAGATAGTGGCCTTCTCTTCTGCACTAGTTTTCTATTGCCACTGCAGCAATGACCACAAACTTAGTGGTTTAAAAAAACACAATGTGGCCAGGCACGGTGGCTCATGCCTGTAATCTCAGCACTTTGGGAGGCCGAGATGGGCAGATCACCTGAGGTCAGGAGTTCCAGACCAGCCTGGTCAACATGGTGAAACCCTGTCTCTACAAAAAAAAATATAAAAAATTAGCTGGGCGTGGTGGCAGATGCCTGTAATCTCAGCTACTTGGGAGGCTGCAGCAGGAGAAACACTTGAATCTGGGAAGCAGAGGTTGCAGTGAGCCACGGTTGCATCACTGCACTTCAGCCTGGGCAACAGAGCAAGACTCGATCTCAAAACAAAAACAGAAACACACACACACAAATGTATCAGCCTACTATTCTGTAGGTCAGATTCTGAAAATGGGCCTCGTCACGCTACAGTCCAGGCACGGGCAGGGTTGTGCATCCTTCCGGAGACTCCAAGGAAGAATCCATTTCCTTGTTCTTCCTGGTTGTTGGTGGAATTCAGTTATTTGTGATCATAAGATCGGGGTTCCTATTTGCTGTTGTTGTTTGCTCAAAATTCATATATTGAAGTCCTAATACCCAGTATCTCAGAATGTGACTGTGTTTAGACATAGGATCTTTGCAGAGGTAAATATAATAGGGCCATTAAAGCAGGCTGTAATCCATCTTTTCTTATTATTATTTTTTAGATAGGATCTTGTTCTGTCTCAAAACAGGCCGCTGGAGTGGAGTGCAGTGGCACAATTACAGCGCACTGCAGCCTTGAACTCCCAGGATCAAGTGATCTCAGTCTCCTGAGTAAGTGAGACTACAGTTATGCACCAACACACCCAGCTATTTATTTTTACTTTTATTTTTTTAGTAGAGATCGGAATCTCGCTATGTGGCACAGGCTGGTCTCCATCTCCTGGGCTCAAGCAATCCTCCTGCGCCAATGTTCCAAAGTGTTGGGATTACCAGCATGAGCCACCACGTCCATCCGTAATCCAGTCTTACTATTGTCCTTTCAAGAACAGATCAGGATACACAGAGAGCCACCAAGGGTGAGTGCACAGAGGAAAGGCCACTGAGAACACAGCAAGAAGGCCATAATCTGCTCTCCAAGGAGAGAGCCCTCAGGAGAAACCAAAGCTGCTGACACCTTGATTTTGAACTTGCACCCTTGAGAGCTGTGAGAAGAAAAATTTCTACTGCTCTAGGCACCCCAGCTATAGTATATCATTAGGGCAGCCCTAGCAAACTAGTACTAGCTGGTACATATTTCTCCCTCGTTTGTACTGCCAAGTCTACCCCACTCTACAGAAAACAAAAGCATGGAATTTTTTTTTTAAAGGAAAACTTTAAAAAAAGATAGGGTTATGATTCCACCTTCAGTTTTCAGGGAGATGGTGTTTACATGCTCAACACAGAGAATCAGGAGCAGGCAAGGTGGGAGATAATAGGAAAGTTGCTGCTCTCTGCCTTTGGATCTAAACTCTGCTTTAGTGATGAGAATTCTCTCACAGTGAAAAGATGCTTTCGATGGAAACTCTATGCCCATCACTCTCTGGAAAATGATCTTGTCTCCTTTTAATCCTTTTTGGATAAAGGTAATTCTGATGGATATAAGTGTCACTTAATGATTCTTTTGTATGCCGTGGGTCTCTTGCATTTCTGTATGAATTTTGTAACATCGGTCTCTCCAACCAAACCCACTGGAATTTTAATAAAGATCACATTGATCTGTAGGTCAATTTGAGGATCAATTTGAGGGTTACTATCTCAACAATATTAAGGTCTTCTTATCCACTCACATGCGCTTTTCCACTTATTTATACCGTCTTTCACTACTTTCAATGTTTTCTAGTTTTCAGTGCAATAATTGTATTCATCTTTTATTAAATTTACTTCTATTTTTGATGCTATAATGAATAGAATTGTTTTCTTCACTTCATTCTGGAATATGCATTGCTAACCTGTAGAAATGCATTTGAATTTTCTATATTAATCTTGTATCCTGAAATTTTACAGAACTCATTCATCAATTTGAGTAATTCATCTGTGAATCTGTTAAGATTTCTATATACAACATCATGTCATCTACAAATAGACATTGTTTTATTATGTTTTTCCCTTCAAATCTGAATACCTTTTTAATTATTATTGTGCTTCCCTAATTGTGCTGGTAGAACTTCCAGCAAAATGTTGAATAGAAGTGGTAAGCCTGGTCACCCTTTTCTAGTTCTTAATTTAAAATCTTAGTCTACTTATTTCAGCATCTAGGTTTCCTCAAGAAGATTTTCTATTGACTGCTTTGTTTTACCTCTGTGCATGGGTCATACTTTACCTTTTTTGCAATATCTTATTTTTTTGTTGAAAATTGTACATTTAAAATAATATATGAGAACTATGAAAACCAGACCTCCCTCTACCCACACCCCTGCTGACGACAGGACTTTTCTCTCTGAGCAAGTTCTCAGTCAGTTCAAATAAACATAAAATCTATCATGGAGCTTTTTCAGAGAGCTGACAGTTCCAGTGATGACAGTTATCTGAGATTTGAGACCCTGGGGAGCTCTAAGCACAGTCTACCCCTCCAGTGGCTGCTCTGGTGTGGTGTTTAAAACTACCATATTTGTGAGACTGCTTATTTCCAAGGATATGGCAGAACTGGGGAGAGAATGATGGGGATAGAGAATATTAAAATGCCCCACAACCCACTAGTTTTACCACATTCAACAATTTATCTTGAATAAACTCTTCTCAGATGGTTGCAAGACTTTGATCAATTTCTAGAGTTCTGAAAAAGGTGACTTGAGCCATTTTGGGCAGTGTTCTCAGTACTTTTTTGATTAAGTGGATTTTTGGAAGGTTTTACTCCATCATTCAGGACAATGCTTCCTGGTATTTCTCTTTCAGGCTGCATAGAAGAGACAGACATGCCTCATAATTAGCAATAAATAATGGTGGCTGGGTATTGAGAAGTTATGAAAGCTATTCGTTTTTCTAAGTGCCTCTGTTTCTCTCAGTTTTGAACTGTCTTGGAAGGGAAAACAGGTTTTGGCGAGTTTCTTATCATGTCATTCATTCTTTCATGCATTCAGTAATTATGTGTTCAGCTGGTAATGATTCCATCTGCACCATGCACCGGCATTAGGTTAGGCACGGTGAGCAAGGAAGACGAGGTCTTGGCACTCATGGAGGTAACACCCTGGAGAAAGAGAGAAAATCAACAAGGGGATGCACAAGCAACAGAGTGATTATAGTAAATAATGTGTGCTATGAAGAAAATCAAAAAGTTGTGTGATACAGAATGGTTGAGGATAGAGTAGGGGCATAATTGTAAGTTGAGCGTCAAGGAAGGTCACTCCAGAAGTGAGACTTGGGAAAAGTGATTGGCTATGAGTGCACCTGGGTGGGGTTTGAGGTGGGAGCTTCTCCAAGACATCTGCAAGCAATGGCAAAGGTCCCAGGGCATAAATAACCTTCACTTGTTTTAGGGACAGAGAGAGGATTATTGGCTCAAGTGGAGAGAAAGGGAGAAGATAACAGATGTCCTCAATGGGGATTTCCCGTTGGAGAGAGACGCGTAACTACCTTGTCCTGTGAGTTACCTGGTATGGCCTCTACTTTCTACAGATGAGCCACCTGAGACTTGAAGGGAAAGCTTCTTCCACCACCTCAACAATGACTATTAAGCTTTAAATGTCACATCCTTCGACTCAGCATGTCTCTGTTTACATTAATTCCACAGATACTATAGGAAATGGTGCACCCAAGCCTTTGTTCAAGGATGCACATTACCTCACTGTTTGTAGCAGGAACAGAGTGCAAACAATGTAAATGTTCACCAGTAGGAGTCGCCTGTGTAGAATATGGAGGAACTGGTTCCAAAAGAGAGGACCAAAGAATCAATTTAAAATTTCTATATATACATATTTTTTGTACTGATATTTTCCAAGAAAGTTTAAGTACAAAAAGCAAGTGTAGAACACTATAAAGTTTAAAAGCGTTGATGTTAAAAATAGGATATATTAATATGTGTGCAATTTTATGCGTGAAGCTCTCTCTTATCTGTAAACAAATGGGGAGATAAACTATTATATAAATTTATTATATAAATAATATAATACTGGCTTCAAGAGTAATAATGAGACTTTCATACATACACTCGTGCATACATATGTACCTACACACCCGCATACAAACATATACAAGGATGTACATGCATAAAGAAATGAGAGCAAAACAAATACCCATTTTCTTACAACCTAGCTTAAGAACTAGGATATCACTAATGTGAGCCTATTTTTTATAGGATAGTTGTTAGTGCTTTTATTTTTTTCAGCATGCACATACATTACATTTCAAGAATTAAAATATCAAGAAATAAAAAGAAGATAATATGAGACATTATAATAGGAGGATATGTCCCTTAAGACAAAAATAAAACATGAATCCAAATATATATGACTTTTCAAGGTTACAAGTAGCACAAACATATTTCGGACCTGCTTCTGTGGCACCAGACTCTGCTGTGTTTCCACTGCCTGTGTTGCTGGGCTGAGGAGCCCAGGTGCCATCAACAGCTCTTCAGACCTCTGGAGTAAATGCTTTATCCTGATGCTCATCCTGGAATGGGCATCATTGTTGAAAAGTCTTGGCCAGGCGATGACCTCCCATCTAATGAGGCTGCTGGTTGAAGACATGTGTTAGAATCCCTTTTGCAGGTTTTTCTTTTGATTCAATGATGAAAGAATAGATGAGTGAGAGAGAAAAAACAATCCTGAGCAAACAAAGCCTGTGGATTCTGAAAATCTATCAGCATATTTCGGCAGGGTGAGCAAGATCTGCCCTGGCCAGTACCTCCCTGGGAAGTTCCAGCAGGAAGGCAGGTAAGGATGGGAAATGGTGCATCACAATTTTTTGATATGCTTTGAGTCAGCTCATTGTGTTCAATTAAACATGATTTCTGTATGTAGCACATAGATTTATAGAAACCCAAACAGAAATGTCTGTAGGGGAAACAACAGCTTCTAGTTTAATACTTAGCAGGTGCATTGCCAGCATGAGCTGCCGCAAGCTCAGTTACTCCATCACTGGCTGTTTCCTTGTGCTGAAGGCAGAGGAAGGCAAGTTAGGAAACCGATCATCCTGCCTGCCTGCTGCTGAGAACTGGATGAAGGCATCTGGTCCAGTTGCCACTTTGGCCATTGTCTGCCTATGAGCAGAGGAGGTTGAGGAATAAACATGCTACAGGAAAAGAAGGAGACACTCGTTAAGAAAATTATATCCTAATTTATGACAATCTAGATTGATAGGAGGCCAAGCCAAGGAGAGGACGTTTGAGAGAGGAAGCATGACATGTCCCTGACCACACTTGAGCTCCAGGCTCCAGCTGTTCCTGAAGCTGGCACTGTTTTAGACATTTTTAATTATCCAAGATGCTAAGTGTTCTTTTCGCTTCAGCTTTCTTGAGTTGGGTCTCTACCACTTGCAAACTCCTCAGCTCTCTAATCATGACTATTACAACCCCACAAGCCTGCCAGACTCCCATTTTTCCTAAATTAGCAACATTTAATTAAGGGCACATATAATCAAAGGCCTATATTTGGTGGTCTTCTAAATCCACCCCTATCTCAGAGTGAGTTTATTCATGTTAATGAACCTTGGAATCCCTGCAGCCCTACACTCAAGTAAGAAATGGGTGGGGTGAGGTTTGATGTCTCTCTAGTCTAGGGTCCATTGGGCATACCCAAGACACATCTTACTTATAGAAATCAAGAGTTCAATGGGGTAACTTACCCAAGCCATATTATCACACTTTAATTTTTTATATGACAATATTTGTATGTATTAGCCATACTCATGGTACTGACAGATACAATTTTCATCTTGGGGCCAGAATGACACAAATCTATTTAAGGTAAAACAATAATAAAAAGGCAAAAATCAATGAAAGCAATAGCCTGTGGGCTCATAAATCAGAAAAGAAAATGTACCGTTCTACAGAACTCCAGCCTGTTAGCCCAAAGCCAAGAGAAATGGACTCTCAGAGAAACCTTGTCCTCAGGTGCAGTGGAAATAGTCCAGGGGTTAGAAGTCAAGAAATTCAGGACTAAATAACTCAGCTGTGTGGCACTGGGGAATTCACATAAACTGGCCCTAATATTCTATGTGTAAGTGGAGGCAAACGTACCAATCTTTACACTTTCTCTAGGGTTACATGAAGAGATATTACAATGTTTGAAAGTTCTCTGACACATCATAAGTTTGCTATAGAAATGTTGCATAACGTACAAAGTAGATTTGCATTTAAATAATGTGATCAGTGTTCCAGAAAGACTTTAATACAATTTCTCAAATAGATTTGACCCACAGTAAGAAGTGTATTTTATATTACCCATCAGTTAACACTCAGTTAATATTAGAATAAAATTGTTCTAAAGAAACATGCTAACAGGTATTATCTAGGGATGCACTCCTCTAGTTTATTGGTTTCTGCTTTGTTTTTCCATTCTACTGTCCCCCATCTTATTTTATGCTATTCTTATATTACCAAGATAAGCTGAATGATACTGTGTTAATAAACACTCCCAGTGTCTCAATCAGGTAAACAATAAGTTTATTCCTTGTTTGTGCTGATGTCTGTCACAGGTGGCCGGGGCTCTGCTTAGCATTGTCCTCCTTCTAGAAGCTTCAGGATCATTCTGGATTCTTTAGCCAGAGTATTTCCAGTTGTTATAATAGAATGTGAGAAAGCTCTTCCAAGTCATATTGGCATGTGAATGTTCTGGCCTGGAAACTAATCACGTTATTTCTTCGTCCATTCTTCAGCCAGTTTTAATCATGTGCTTCTACCCAACCCTAAAGTGGTCAGGAGGTCACGTCAGCCATATGGCCTGAAGAGAACTGGAAATACCTGCTCCTAACAACCATGCCTGGTGATCATCACCTCTCTCTCCCGAGCTAAGAAATGTTCTCATTTAGGGCCAACTAAAGTTGATTTCACTGCTCACTAATGGTTGTAATCTATAGCATACAATTTCTTCTCTGTGTCAACCTGACTTTTAAGCTAAAGCTGAGAAGATAATCTTCTGTGAGGCAGAAAGTATCCATGAGAGTGGGAACAGGTGTGTGAGAACCTAGAGACAGACAACGGGCTTGGCACATGCCAGAAACTACAGAAAAATGGAATGAGCACAGGACGAAGTCACAGAAAATTAGATTGCAGAGACGGGCAGGATCTCAAGCAGGCAACAATGTTCTCCTAGCGCAAAATTAGTGAAGGTATTTGAATATTGCATAAATTTAAGGTACACAACAGATTTTGTTGATACATATGTACGTAGTAAAATGGTTACTACAGTCAATAAAATTAGCATGCCCATCATTTCAGTTACCTTTTTTTTAATGGCAAGAGTATCTAAAATCTACTCTCAGCAATTTTTTTTTTTTTTTTTTGAGATGGAGTCTGGCTCTATCATTCAGGCTGGAGTGCAGTGGTGTGATCGCAGCTCACTGCAAACTCTGCCTCCTGGGTTCAAGCAATTCTCCTGCCTCAGCCTCCCAAGTATCTGGGATTAGAGGCACGCACCACCACACCCACCTAATTTTTGTATTTCAGTAGAGACAAGGTTTCACCATGTCAGCCAGGCTAGTCTCAAACTCCTGACCTCAGGTGATCTGACTGCCTTGACCTCCCAAAGTGCTGGGATTACAGGCGTGAGCCACCATGCCTAGTCTTCTCAGCAAATTTTTAGTACACAATATTGTACTCTATTACTAACCACAGTCCTTATGCTATATATTAGATATCTAGATTTATTCATCCTCCATAACTGCATCTTTTTACCCTTTAACCTGCATTTCTCCTCCCTTCCCCACCACTGGTGACCACTTTTCTATTCTGTTTTTATATAGGCAACCTTTTAAAAAATATTTCACATGTAAGTAAGATTATGCAGTATATTTCTTTCTGTGTCTGGCTTATTTTACTAGTTTCAAGTAGGGGAGAAGCATGTTCTGATATATGTTTGAGACAACTAATTGGGGCTGGGTGCCATACCTGTAATCTCAGCACTTTGGGAGCATGAGGAGGAAGGATTGCTTGAAGCCAGGGGTTCAAGACCAGCCGGGGCAACAAACAAGACTCTGTGTCTACAAAAAAATTTGAAAAATTAGTTGGGCACTGTGGCATGCTCCTGTAGTATTTGGGAGGCTGAGATAGGAGGATCACTGGAGCCCAGGAATTTGGAGGCTGCATCAAGCTGTGATTGTTCTAAGCTGTGATTGTTCCACTGCACTTCAACTATAGCTCGAGTGATAGAGCAAGACCCTGTCTCTAAAATATAATTAAAAAAAAAAAAACTAACTGGATGCCTGGTGAACGTGTGGGGAATGGAATGGAGATTGCAAGGGAGGCTGGGGTAACCATCCAGGTGATAGATGAAGCTGCTTGTTGGAGGAGGCAGTGGAAGTGTCAACAGGGCACATGCTAAGAGCCCTTCTCAAGGCACTAGCTCACATCTTGCTGTAACCTGAGTTGACATGAGAGTAAAGCCTTTGTGGACTTCAGACTGAACTGTGACTTAGAAATAAAGCACCATTGGTCTGTTATGTTTATGTTAAGGGATTCCCTCTCTATTAGTCTCTTTTCACACTGCTGATAAAGACATACCTGAGACGGGATAAAGAAAAAGAGATTTAATGAACTCACTGTTCCACGTGGCTAGGGAGGCCTCACAATCATGGTAGAAGGCAAAAGACACTTCTTACATGGTGGCAGCAAGACAGAAAATGAGAACCAAGCAAAAGGGGTTTCTCCTTATAAAACCATCAGATCTTGTGAGACTTCCTACCACAAGAAGAGTATGGGGTAAACCACCCCTATGTTTCAATGATCTCCCACAGGGTCCCTGCCACAACACCTGGGAATTGTGGGCGGGACCATTCAAGATGAGATTTGAATTGTGGGAGGGACAATTCAAGATGAGATTTGGGTGGGGACACAGGCAAACCATATCACCCTCTATAACTTCCTTCAGCCAACAGGACGTGGTTAGTCCCGGAGACGATTAAAAAACAAACCCTCCTAAGCTACATATGGAAAGTCACTGCATAAAACACACTTTGGCAGCTGTTGTGACATATTGTTTATCATTGTGAGTCTTTAAAAAATGCTTGTCGTGATAACAAGCCGTCTGCTGAAACAGCTGCCAAGAAATGTTAAGGCTAATCTCCTTTATTAATGAAGAGAAGTGTTTCTTTGCGTGCTTACCCCCCTGAATCTGTGACACTACAGCTGAGGAAGTTCAGACTCTTACAACCACCCAGGCAGCAAACGTCTTCCTTTCAGACCCAGAAACTCTAGCCATTTAGCAAATCCTTTCAAATGAGCAGAGTTCCATCAACTGTAGAGTAAGAACGGACAGAATAGGGAGAGAAAACCAATCACATGAGTAGAGTTACAGAAGAGCTGAGGGGAATTCTTAGATCTTAGACGTTCAAGTGCATTTCAGGAACACTTATTTACATATCCCCAAATGGACTTCAACTTTGCCACAGTCAATTCTCATTTAACCTGCTTTATTTAAACAAAACAGGCCTTTGGTGAGCTCCATTTTTAATGAGTAAAAGAATGCCATCCTTTAAGGTTGTTCAAGGTATTACAAGAATTCAGAAGAAGAAACACTCCATTTAAAAATATTTGTTAATTCCGGTTGGGCGCAGTGGCTCACGCCTGTAATCCCAGCACTTTGGGAGGCCGAGACGGGCGGATCACGAGGTCAGGAGATCGAGACCATCCTGGCTAACACGGTGAAACCCCGTCTCTACTAAAAAATACAAAAAACTAGCCGGGCGAGGTGGCGGGCGCCTGTAGTCCCAGCTACTCGGGAGGCTGAGGCAGGAGAATGGCGGGAACCCGGGAGGCGGAGCTTGCAGTGAGCTGAGATCCGGCCACTGCACTCCAGCCTTGAAGAGAGAGAGACTCCGTCTCAAAAAAAAAAAAATTGTTAATTCAGGATGTTGGCTTTCAGAATCAAGTGAACTGTAGAAACACCAGGTGAGCTAATTTTGCCTGCAGATTCCTGGACTATCAACTCCTACAGAGTTATTTAGGAAGCCTGTGTATGTCCTCGAAATCCTCATCTGTGTTAAAATACCCCAGGTGAGTCTGATAGAGGGCTTCCCAGAACGAACGCACCCTGAAAACAATAATTTACATTTACAATTGGTCAGTGGCTACTCAA